GGTACCCAATTAACTAATCTACAACAACAAATTAAATAATTAATAAATCAGAAAGCACTCCAAGATAAAGTAAATACGACTCTCTCACGACCACGACAAGACTGAGCAAAATTTTGTGAATCATGATCTTTTTAAGTATACCAAAATCACCACGTGCAGCAAAGCGCTGAGAACAATAGATAGCCAGGAAAGCCATTTGTTGTAAATATAATAGACAATAGACTAAATGCGTTTGTTGCAAACCACTGACAAACCCCTCGGCCGCGTCTCAGGTAGGAACTGTTGGCCAGCGTTCATTTGTTTCAAGTAGCTAAACGTGTTGTAGTGTGTTTAGTAGTCAGCCATGGTAAAAATAACAGAAAGTGACGCCCGCGTACCTAATCATCCAACAGAGGAAGAGACATGGGAAGAGATCTGTCAAAATTCGAACAAATACAATACTCCAATGACTCTGCGAGATTTAGAAGAATTTGCCACGATGGCATCCTATTTAATTACTCATTTAAGTCAAAACCCACGACGACGATACCAAATTGCGATGAATAAACTTCGAGAACTTTTCAATTTGGTAAGTACAATCATGATTACGGAGAAAATACCTGTTTTTGAATGCGTGGTGATTTTTATGATTCGGTGTTAATACTATACAACTAGATACAATAGTCAATACACACAAATTTAGAACAATTAAATCGTATATAGATTTTAATGTGATCGTAACTAATCACAATCAATGTTTTTGAAAATATTTACGTGTTTGCATTTTTATTATAACAATGAATTCTTAAAGCAGGTAGGTTTGTGTATGTTCTATAAACAAGCTGTGGTGGTTCAGCGGTTCCTATACTCCCTTCTTAAACATAAAGGTGCATGTTCGAAACCTAGCAAGAACTAATGTAACTTTTTAAATTATACGACGTCGACTTACGGGGAATGATAACATCATTAGGAAACCTGAACCAATATGGAATCGCCAACCCGCTTTGATCAAGTGTGATGTTTACGGCTCATACCTTCTCCGTGTGAGAAGCTATCTTACTCTGATAATGATGACGATGATATTCTAGTATGTATTACTGCTCCTTGTGTGTATCTACGATAAGTTTATTTTAGTTTTATACAGTTTCTTATCTTATCTTATACTATTTTTACTATTTTACTATTATTATATAAGTTTGTTTGTTTGTTTGAACGCGCTAATCTCCGTAACTACAAGTCTGATTTAAATAATTATTTTAGTGTTGAATAGTGCATTTATCGCGGATGGCTATAGGGTATAAAACATCACGCAACGACCAATAGGAGCTGAGCAGAGCGTGTGAGATGAACTCTGTTATTGTATAAATCTTGTTAACATCTTAAATAGCTGCAACTGTGATTCATAACTATGTTGCCATAATGAATGAAATTTAAAATGTGTTGTTTTTTTTCATACATCAACAAAAACATCAAAGGCCTCTTCTCACACGGAAACGATTTGAGCATTAATCACCACGTTTGCTCAATGTAAGTTGGCAATTTCAAACTTATACGTGCGTGATGGGGCGATGGAACAGAGGCGACAAATTCTGGGGTGCGCCAAGATCTGAAGTTGGAGTCTATTGCCTCTCCTGGTGCAAACCCTCAGAACTGTGCTCTACGCTCTGTGCATATGCATATTTTTTATTTAAGAAAGTTGATAAAAAACTAACAAAATGTTTAACCTAAATGAAAAGTAAAAAACGTACGAGAAATTCAAATTTGAAAAAATTTGTAAATGACAAAATCAAAAGGAATAAAAATATTTAAAAAAAATAAAAAATGTAAATATATAAAATGTAAAAAAAAAAACTAAAAATATAAAATGTAAAAAAAATTAAATATATATATGTCGGAGGAAGCTGGGAGTTAATTGTTACTTGCATTGCATAACGCACATTAATTTTTGTTTGTATTATATTCACCTTTAAAATGCCTAAATTAATTTAAATTGATTTGTCACACTTAAAATTTTTAATTTGATTTATTAGAATTATTAATAATTTGAATTTGACTGCCTAAGTAACGACCAATCAGAGCAGAGCGCGCGCCTCGAGCGGGGTCGAGGCGCCATCTTACTGATAAAAAGGGAGATAGTTTTGGCGGGAGAGCATGAATTGGCTATCGGTCGAGTTGAATCGTTTTATGTGATTTACTGTAAGATCGGTGCCCTGAACCCACTGCTCAGTCCTAAGTATTAACTTTTCTTTTGCGTTATTGTGAAACAGATAAAACTATTGTTACTATCTAAATTAAAAGAGTGTTTATTGTGAATATTGTGTTTTGTGCTCGCATTTTACCCTCATGACGCCCACTAAATCCGCAATCACAAATAACGATGTCGGCCATGACAATGTTTCTCCGACATATATATAAAACAAGAGGAGCTACAAAAATTTTCTACGTCCACGTCGTTAGCACTGGCTAACGCTAAAGGAAAGATGAAATTCTTAATATAGTATAATTTTACTTGGGATCAGCAAAAAACTAACACTTAATATTGGTTCCCTCAAGTGGGCTCCACAATATTTTCACCCGGGGTGTCAGTGACCCTTACGCCGTTACACTAGTTATATAATTTTAGAAGTATATTTTGCAACAAAGTATCATTGGGTAACAAATCAAAGTATTATTGGTTTTTTTTTTAATTCTCAGTAATAGCACGAAGTCTGGAATTATGACCGGTATATGGCAATAGCCTCACCCCCTATTACATGGGACTCATAACATAAAATAGTGAAAAGTGGGTGTTGCATTGTACAATGGCACAATGTGCACCTCTGCTTACCCCTTCGCCTTCGGGGATAAAAGGCGTGATGTTATGTATTGCAACAAGTAAGTACTCACAATATCGATTTAACAAATAGATAAAAATCAAAACTAACTACTTTATGACTCCGAACGAAATACTTGAATTATTAGCCAATGGTCAATGCTTACCCGAGTAATTCATTCTACAGAAAGCTATTTATTTTTATCTTTCTTACATTCAAAGGTGCCTTTATTACAATGGAGATCTAACAACCCCATAGAATTGCAATGAGGAAACAACCCGTTATCCACGATTACCATGTAATTAAAACACTCTTATAAATATCCAATTGTCACTCTTTTGATGTTTCTCTTAATAAATACTCTTTTGTGCATTTGCAATTCGACGGAGGAAGAAAGGGTTTTTTGGATCAGCTCAAGAGTTATTTTAAAAATCCTTAATTCAAGACTGAATATACAAATGCGATTACCAAACAATGGGTTCAACTCAATACCAAGGTCGGCCGCCAAAATATTATTGATTTTTTTTTAGATTTCGATAATAGCACGGAGTCAGGATTTCTGCTCAGTTCCCTAAGACTATGTTTGTCATATAACTAGTCTAGAATAGTGTTGTTAAGCAGGAATAGCACCTTTATAGTTTATCTACCTGGCATATATTTAACATGTTATATTGTTAATAAAAAACCATTTAAAAGATCATTAATATTTAATAACTTTAATGATAAATTATAAAAAGGCGGTTGATATTACAATTTTCAAATACCCATAGAACGTAACATAATAGGTATATAATGAAACACAGTTAAAGATTTAAACATACAATAAACTCTAATCACTTATATTGAATAAAAAACACCACTGAATTGTCACTGCTTACCTCTCCGGGGCGACAAGTTCGTCACTATTGTGTGTTCCTTCACATTCACAACAAATAATTACAAAGTTCTGAAAAAATAAGACAAATAGGTATTAGTATGTTCGACCACCTCATTGATCAACTACCAAACATTCACAAGTTGGGCAAAGCAAGGACGTTGAATAAACGGACAAATTCTCTTAAAACAACAACTGTGGCACCTAGTTACTGTTAACTTACACGCAGAACATATACACATTGATATGAAAGATATCTGTCGTTTTCTTAAGTCCTTACCTGGCAACGTGGTAACCCATTACATGCACACATAAATAAGCCACTGACATTTTGGTTCTTCAATCATTTCTAAGTGACATTATTTTCGAATGGGACCAAATAGGGCTGATGCCGATACGGAGCCGCGGAGAACCTAACGGGTTACCGGGGCTCCGGCTCGAAGTGCAGGAGTAGTAACAGGGTGGTTTTTAGTCAGTAAGAGTCTAACACTCCCTTCCGCCTCACCTAGGCGGGAGAAGACATTCAATGATTTTCCCCCCTTAAGAAAAAGTTACTCATTGTCCGCCTTTTTTAACGTCTTTAGAGCAAAGCTATTGCTTTGAGTAATTTTAAGTTTTTTATAGTTCTCAGTAATATCACGGAGTGTAGAATATTATGTCCGCTGTATGGCAATATATAATCATTGAATATATTTGTCGATCAATTTTATCAGAAAAAATTATATGAAATCCTTAGCGAATCAAACTTAAAAATACTTACTAAATTATATTGACATCTTAACAAGTCCATCACATTGGTCTCGTGGCCACTATTTGTTTCAGAATATTTGTTCATCAAGATTATTTGTTTTAGGACCAATAGTTCCAACTCGCGAAGGGTTTCAGGCTCTCGCTGGACAGTGTACCGACGGTGGCTGTATCGCCAGTTGCGCCTTACTGGCTGGTCGTTACACGGATTTATATTAACCATAGTTCTTGTACGTCCTAATAATAATCTAGGACGTAAACTTCTTCTTTTAAAGGCAACCAACACACTAACAAGCACTTAGTAGGTACCCAATTAACTAATCTACAACAACAAATTAAATAATTAATAAATCAGAAAGCACTCCAAGATAAAGTAAATACGACTCTCTCACGACCACGACAAGACTGAGCAAAATTTTGTGAATCATGATCTTTTTAAGTATACCAAAATCACCACGTGCAGCAAAGCGCTGAGAACAATAGATAGCCAGGAAAGCCATTTGTTGTAAATATAATAGACAATAGACTAAATGCGTTTGTTGCAAACCACTGACAAACCCCTCGGCCGCGTCTCAGGTAGGAACTGTTGGCCAGCGTTCATTTGTTTCAAGTAGCTAAACGTGTTGTAGTGTGTTTAGTAGTCAGCCATGGTAAAAATAACAGAAAGTGACGCCCGCGTACCTAATCATCCAACAGAGGAAGAGACATGGGAAGAGATCTGTCAAAATTCGAACAAATACAATACTCCAATGACTCTGCGAGATTTAGAAGAATTTGCCACGATGGCATCCTATTTAATTACTCATTTAAGTCAAAACCCACGACGACGATACCAAATTGCGATGAATAAACTTCGAGAACTTTTCAATTTGGTAAGTACAATCACGATTACGGAGAAAATACCTGTTTTTGAATGCGTGGTGATTTTTATGATTCGGTGTTAATACTATACAACTAGATACAATAGTCAATACACACAAATTTAGAACAATTAAATCGTATATAGATTTTAATGTGATCGTAACTAATCACAATCAATGTTTTTGAAAATATTTACGTGTTTGCATTTTTATTATAACAATAAATTCTTAAAGCAAATAGGTTTGTGTATGTTCTATAAACAAGCTGTGGTGGTTCAGAGGTTCCTATACTCCCTTCTTAAACATAAAGGTGCATGTTCGAAACCTAGCAAGAACTAATGTAACTTTTTAAATTATACGACGTCGACTTACGGGGAATGATAACATCATTAGGAAACCTGAACCAATATGGAATCGCCAACCCGCTTTGATCAAATGTGATGTTTACGGCTCATACCTTCTCCGTGTGAGAAGCTCTGATAATGATGACGATGATATTCTAGTATGTATTACTGCTCCTTGTGTATCTACGATAAGTTTATTTTAGTTTTATACAATTTTCTTATCTTATCTTATACTATTTTTACTATTTTACTATTATTATATAAGTTTGTTTGTTTGTTTTAACGCGCTAATCTCCGTAACTACAAGTCTGATTTAAATAATTATTTTTGTGTTGAATAGTGCATTTATCGAGGATGGCTATAGGGTATAAAACATCATGTAACGACCAATAGGAGCTGCGCAGAGCGTGTGAAACCGCGCGGAAGTAGCTAGTAATTAATAATTTAGATGAACTCTGTTATTGTATAAATCTTGTTAAAATCTTAAATAGCTGCAACTGTGATTCATAAGTAGGTATGTTGCCATCATGAATGAAATTTTAAATATGTTGTTTTTATTCTGTCTATTCTTTGTTGTTCTTGTTATTATTGTTGATTCTCCTATATTATAGTAATAAACTAGCCTCTATTCATTCATTCATATGGGATTCTGTTTTTATATTATTTGGATAACAATTAACATTTCCAATGTTTTTATTTTGTTTAAGGAATTCAAGATGTTTTGCCATGTGTGTTTCACACCGCACCATCAAGATGAAATTACTGCGCCTGAACGCTAAGTAACATATTCCAAACACTATATTTCAATATTTTATTCTATTTATCTATCTATTACTTCTTTCTACTTCTAATTTCAGAATCAAAAACATACTTCTCTTTCAAATCTGTTCGGGTTACAATTCTCATAATATCTCTCTCTCTCACACACACTCTCTCTCTCTCTTCTCTCTCTCTCTTCTCTCTCTCTCTCTTCTCTCTCTCTTCTCTCTCTCTTTTCTCTCTCTCTCTCTTTTCTCTCTCTCTCTCTTTTCTCTCTCTCTTTTCTCTCTCTCTTTCTCTCTCTCTTTCTCTCTCTCTTTCTCTCTCTCTTTCTCTTTCTCTCTCTTTCTCTTTCTTGCTCTCTCTCTCTTCTCACATTTTAAACCTATACATTGTAACTACATTTCTGCCTAGCTCTTGGAATTAGTTAGTGGATTAGAAGTAAAAATCGAATAATGTTATGTATTTATCTTTATTACAATAAAATATATATTTAGAACTGCCTTTTATTTACGCAGTTACATTCCCATTTCCCCATTAGGAAAAGAGTGTATTCCTTTTTAAAATGCCGACAACGAACCTGTGACTCCTCTGGTGTTCCAGGTGTCCATGGGCGGCGCTGATCGCTTACCATCAGGTGATCCGTCTACTCGTTTGCCTCTTCACTACATCACTTTCACTACATAGTATAAAACAAAGTCGCTTTCTTTGTCCCTATGTCCCTTTGTATGCATAAATCTTTGAAACCACGCAACGGATTTTAATGCGGTTTTTTTTTAATAGATAGAGTAATTCAAAAGAAGGTTTATATGTATAATACATGCATATTGCACCCGTGCGAAGCCGGGGCGGGTCACTAGTTTCAATACATATATTGCCCTTAATGATTTCAAAGGTATTCTTTAGAATTTGAAGGACTAAAAAGTATTTAATTCGAATTTTTTCACATCAAAGTAATGTCATGTGCTCGAAGTTCTGATGTTTCATAGTCTAGCTAGGTAATAATGTAGTGAAACTTAAACAAAGCAACAAAGCTACAATAAAACTGTGAATGTTAAGTTTGGTAAGGTTGTCTCACAAAGACGAATTTGAGACACAAAGAGGCGGCATTACTCCGGCTCCCGCGGTAATCCGGATTGAGCCAGCAATTATAATACTTATCCTGTTCGGTATTTCATCTCGCCACAGTAAAGTGTACCCCCAAATTGTCCCGGCTTCAGTCGCGCCAGATAAAAAGAGATCCGCTTTTCAATAATGTATAATATTAATGACTCATCTCATCATACTTTAACCCACAATACCTGTGTAAGCAACACAATTATGTAAGTAATTAGATATCTAACTGCCATTTGCTCAGTTTGCCAATTAGCTAATGTATCCTTATGCTCAAAGCAATTAATTATTTTGTTTAGATAACGGCTATCTACATCATACACTAATTATTATAATAATCTAACCAAGTAACGCACCATCACGATGATAGAGAGGTCTAAAATTGAACCAAAGTTGTTTACAGCCAAAGTTACTAAACTTTCGATAGGGATGGTACATGCAATGACCGATTTCAATAGCCTCCAATATATTCACTAGCTAGAACAAATACGTCCAAAATAACAACTAAGTACAAAGAAAGACGAGTCATGCCAACAATATTCTTTACAGGCGAAATTGCAGTCTTAAACAAACATAGCGGTTTTAGCTTGGAGTATAGGGGCTTAAGCCGGAGAATTGCGGCCAGACCCCGGAAATACACTCGCTAAAGCCGGAAAGTTCGGCTAAAACCAGCAATGTGACAACCCTAGTTACAGTGGTGTAGTATATTGACATTAGGCTTTAGTTCACGGCGACACCGATACCACGATAAGCTAATGAATTTTGGCCCAAACAAGTCGGCAGGGCTGCTGATAAATGAAACTTGTTGTTTATTATACCAAACAAGTTGTTAACATAGTACCACAAATGTTATTGATAAATTATTGAAACTTAGGTCTTAGATAACGGGCGATGTCGCCAGGTGGGAACTGAACTTTACTAAAGTTATTGGTAAAATGTAACTTCATTATTTCTGTTTGCCTCAAGTTACTATTGAAGTGATGAAACAACATACTTCTACGGTATTTGTTTCTCCGGGTTACTTTAGTTGGAGTAGTTATGTAGGCTCTTTTAGTCCGGTATTTGCTCGGCTTGCCGACAGCCGCCATCAACGCCCAAACTGCAGTTAGGGTAGGCCCCAATCTTTCTCCGATGGACAAAGTTGGGACAAATTATGGAAGTGCTCATTGTGGATAGAGTTTTTCAAGGAGAAACAGCCATTTACTTTTATAGGCTTACCCAGTGTAAATGCTAAGGTATCTACCTATCTACCAAAAAATTCAGGAATATCTAATTAACAAAGTTTGTTTTTACACAAAAATGATTGCATAGATTATGCATCACAAAAGATGAATGAATGTAAGGAAATTGGCTAATAGGGGAAGTCCGTGAACACCAACAAATAATCGATACAAGACCCGATCAATCAACCCTGGGTTATTTGAAATACCGCAAATGAACAAGAATAAGATTTTTAGATTAGGTAGCAGCAAGCTAGTGTAATTATTATTCTGATATAAGCTACGAACTCATCAATCAAAGTACTTCGCCTACTGCCTCCGCCCGTCTCCTCCAATCTTTAGACTGTAAGCCTTTACTCGCGTATAATATATCGCCTGTGTACACAATGCTTATAATTTCGGAGTTGCCACACTGAAACAGATTGAATAAATTGCTTCGCCTCTGCATAATTTTATGTGAATGAAGAGTAAAATAAAATCTGACGGCGTGTTTTTCTTTTGTTAAATGAACGAAAACATCAAGTTGCCTAGATTAGAAGTTGTGTGCAACTTATTTCTAGTTAATACCATTTTAAAGATAATTTACAACTTAACAAATTGAGTCCAGAAACGCTAAATTTCATACCCAGCTTATAAAATAACATCTGTGCAATTGAAAACTACTTAATCATAATATTTCTTTAACATTTTAAACTCTGACCTCGTCCTAATAAACTTTTGGTTCGTTTAATTAAACCTTCATGCCTCGCAAAATGTTAAACGCTCAAGTTAAATTAAATTCACCATCGACGTTTCATATTTTGCTCAGAAATAATGTAATTACCTCAAATTGGAAGAGATCTCGAACATTTACGAATTAAATTACCAACTTTCGAATAGGTTTGACGATTTTATTGTATTTGTTAAGTTTTGTAATCGCTTGAAGCTCAGCAAGTTTATTGTTTATATTCCTAGGAAGAAAGGTACCTAGTATCTGGGTAAACCCCTCAAAACAACATAGTTATTAACAGTTCAAAAATATTTAATATCATTTCAGGTCAAATAACATCCTTTAATGTACAAATATTAACCTATCCACTACAAAATACATTGACCTCGTACATTTTATTTTCTTTCTGAAATTCGAATTTCGAAGGATACTCAGCCCCACACATCTTAACATTACATTTTTTTTTACAGGATGTCACGTAGCACATACTTACGGAATATGCATCAGGGTTTTTGGTACAATTTTTACGTGAATAGGCCTTTGTAGGCAGCTTTCTCTTGGTTCACTGGACAATGGCAGACGTAGATGGCTCCCAGCCAACCATGGAGTTTAAACACCAATGCGTCTAACCGTTACTTTTTTGTGTATTGACTTCTATACCTGTACTATTGAATACATTCAAGATGAAATAAGCAGTACAGGCAGGAAAGGGTGAGTACTTACCTATTAATATTAATTGCTTAACTCGTCGAGTACTGGTTTTATAGACACAATTAAAGAACAATAGGTCGCGGTCACCGGTGACCGCTTGGTCTTTGACAGTTTAAACTGTCAAAGACCAAGGAAATTATACAGGAAATAGGACAAACTTCCATTGTCTAAATATATACTTATGTATGGTGTAGGTATGGTGGTGGTATATGTAAATAATACTTCCGAATGGTCATTTTTACGACTTCAAAATAGGAGGTGTTACGAATCTTGGAGAAATGTCCGTTCAATACTTATTAACTTGTCATTCTAGTTTTAAGTTCTTTCATTAATTTTATTTTGTTTTGTGTTCGTTGCATGTATTTACACTGTGTCTTATGTCTTATGTTTATATTCATTTTCCTGTCGCAGGTCTGCAGGAAGAAATCCCTTAAGGGATATGCAGTACCTATGTACCTCATGCTTATAATGTGTTGTCTCTTGTAATATTGTCTGTATGGTGTGGGTACATGAAATGATAAATAAATAAATAACTTTACTAGCTACTTCCGCGCGGTTTCACACGCACTGCTCAGCTCCTATAGGTCGTTGCGTGATGTTTTATATCCTATAGCCATCCTCGATGAATGCACTATCCAACACAAAAATAATTATTCAAATCAGACTTGTAGTTACGGAGATTAGCGCTTTAAAACAAAAAAACAAACTCTTCCGCTTTGTATAATAGTATAAGATATAAGATTAGTAATGGAAGTGCACATTGGTTTCAGTCATTATAAGCTGCTTACAATGCATGTATAGCCTAGCCTCCAGAACGAGAGCGAAGCGTAACCATAGCCAAAGGGCTATCCCGTCAGGATATTCAGTATCAAAAAGGGCAGGGTGACAGAGTGAATAGGTAATCCTACCGTATTATTACAGAATGGATGTTATATTCCTTCAATGCCCATATTCTATACGTCCAATAACAACACCACAGCGTCCCAATCCACCATAACAATTAACCAGCAACTATAAATACAACAATTAAAAATCGTATCGTTACATAAATAAAATAACAGGTAACAAATATCTAATATCACTTTATGACAGATATAAAATGTATATTTAATGTCTTTTCGTGTTATGAACCATCATATTCTTGCTTCATAGCCACCATCCATTTGGGAAAAACTTAGGTAAGCTGTTTATTTATTTAAAAAGATATAACTTATAATATTTGTAGGGCATAAACATGTATGTTTTATGTAGGTAGTGTTGCGACCCATCGTTATTTCATACACTCATAATATCCACTTATTGTTTTCGGTGTAAGTGCGTACTTAACCATTAACGTGACGTGTAACATAACAAGAGTGTTACTTTCACGAGTTATTCGCGAAACTAAGAACCTTATTGTTTTGGGATGCCTTTTATTATTCAATCTGTTAGGTAGAGGTACAGGTAGAGATGTCGTACATACAGTCTTACATAATATATAATTATGCCATTTATATGGAGATGGGTGTATGTACAACACAATATTGTTTATAGCAAATTGTTGTGTAGGTACATATTGCAGCTTCAATTCTAATACAGAAGAAACCTTGGATTCTGTTTGCTATCAGTGTTAAAGCTG